CCGACTAGGACGTAGCGAGATCGCACGTAGCGGCTGTTGATCATGTCCAAAAGTTTCTACGCGCTGTTTGCGTCCTCCAAAAGTCGCACGATGGTCGTGCTCCTCACGCACGAAGTCCCACTTTTTCCCCATTTTTATGGCCGTAGGCCACACGTAGCAGCCCGTACGTCTGGTTGGGACCTAGGCTCATAAGATGGCGTATTTTACGTTTTTCCTTGAGTCATCAATTTCATCTCAAATTATTACATTGAAATGCTCACACTATTATACATTTTGAACATATAATTGATTGCAGTTTAGACTGGCTTTGCCCCAACCTTTTAACCTTTTAACATCATTTTCGATCACGAAGAACAACAGGGGCCGGGTAATCTATCCAAACACGTTTTTCTTTTTTTTTTTTTACGTTTAATTATAAAGCGGCGCGGAGTATTCAATTGGAGATTAAGACGACGGCAATAATATCCATTGACTCGTACGTCAAATTAAATGCTTGTAGAAAGGGTTTTTAAAAGGTTTTTCTAAGAACATGGAGTCGACAAAAAGTATGGAGCTTAAGCAAGCATTTAAGGAAGATAATCAACGATCATGGTAACTGCGTGTAATCCACGTGCCCGGGTCCCTTAAGTTCTTATCGGACGCTTCAAAGAATTGCGGAGATGGAAAAATGAGAGGACGATCTTATCGAAAATCTCAGTCTACCTGTACTTTGGAGTTATTAATCTAACTTACGTGGCAGGTAAGCTCTGATTAAACGCGTCACCAAAATCTTTTGTTCGACTTAAAATGTCAAAGAAGTGCCACGTCTTACTTGTAATTTTGTCATCTTATGTGACATTTTGGCTTTACGGCTTATTTTGATTGTGGTGAAAATTTTTATCATTTTTACCGCAATCCATTTGTCAGAAGTAACCTTCATCGATAATTCATCTAGTTGCTGACCTAGCAAATCTGTTTTTATTGCACTTTTCTATTACTCTCTGCCAGCATGGTTATATAATGTTTCCAAGGAATGTGACCGGCTACCATTACCAATAAATATGTTACAAAAATTGTTTTTTGAAATTTGCTTGGTTTGGTGCATGAAAGCTTGCTCTGCCCAAGGAGTTATAACTCCTTGCTCTGCCAAATTATACATTACCGATACGGGCTGTCACCAGTACCTTCTGTTTTTTTTTCTTTTTTTTTTTTTTTAAATTTATATCAGAATGTTCTATCTATCGCAATGAGTGAAATGTCTGGCATATATTCATATAGCAAATATTATTTTATGACATTATTCATACAACTTATTCAATACAGATTTAGTTCACGTGTATCTTGATGGAATGCTTTAAGCAAGCAGTTTTCTAAGAACTTTATCTTAAATTAATGGTTTTATATTCCCATCCTTCTGCTGAAACGAGCAGTTTGCTTGTTGTTTCATGAATAAAATAATGAATAAAAAGCCCTTCTCCATACAATGTTCTTCGTTTGATAATTATCCTTGTTGAACAGTGAACGAAAATAAAGGCAGTCTTAAGAAATATGTTGATGGAGAGATAGGAAGTAGGTGATCTTATCGGAACTCTCAATTTACCTGTGCATTGCAGTAATTAAACTGTTAGCTTACGTGGCAGCTCTGATTAAGATCTTTTGTCCGACTTAAACTTTCAAGATGTGCCAAGTTTGATTTCAATCACGCTCCCTGCGGCAACTGCCGATACGAAACCAGCAACTGACAACAGTGAAATTATCATCCCAAGAGGAAATCTTGTAGCCCTATTTCTACAATTATTATTATCATCATTGAATAATAAGACTCTGCCCACCACCAATTAACTCAAACATTACAGAAAGAAGTTTCCGTTAAGATGTTATGTTGTTGGTGTGATCTGTAAGTTTGATGTTCATTACATAGGATTGGACGTTGCTTTAACAAATTAAAAAAACCCATAACACTCTTAAAATTAGACTGCGCTAAATAGGGTATCGACTAGTAAGCAAACAAAAATCAAGGAGGGAGGGATGTGCTAAAGAAACGGCATAATTACGGATAACTATTAGCAACTCTTTACTATCTAGAATTGTACACCATACTGACTCTTGTCAAAGCAGACACAGCCTCTAAATACTGTAATACAATTGATGTAGTGTTTACCCCCCCCCCCCCTCACCCCCACTGATAATGACTGGCCTGTAATTGTGCGTTTAACAAAGGTAGTGGTACAGTGATATTCACACCTTAAGCCTCTGGCGATAGTCAAGCAAGCAGAACAAGATATAAAACCAGGGACAGCGTTAACTTGAAAGGAACACTTTCATATTCAGGTTAATTTAAAGCTGATTCATGTTTGGAGATTCCCTAGCGATAATAACCACCAACTAACAAATTATGTGCAAGTTATATAAACATGTGGTCATAGGGTAAATGTATAAGCAATTCATATGCATTTCAACATTTCCTGAGGTTAAATAACCCTTTAAATGAAAGAGAGACAGAAAAAAAGGAAAATTGTCGTGAACGTGAACGTGAAGCAAGTCTTTTGCCTCCTGGTTAAAAATGAAAAGAAAACAACACCGATATTAAGGGCCTCACAATGGGTCAAGTTCAAGAACACTCGAACCCGGGGTCTATAAAAGGCGGTTCATTACATGTTTTCACCAGTCTGTTGGTCTTGCCAACAGGCGAGGCTGCTGGAAAGACCAACAGCCTCAGTATAATCCAGTAACTAACCACCATGCACTGGTGATATTGCATCACTTGCACTGCTCAATGAGGGTTACACCTTTTAAAAGAAAAATCGCGTGCAGAACTGCAGGTGAAGGTAAATGGGCATCCTTGTAGTCTGTGTTGTCTTTATTTTGAGAATAGTTTGATAAATAATATAAATATAATTTATAAAAATATAAAGTAGGTAAAAAGAATAATGTAATTTTATTAACACAAAAAATTACATGAATTAACTTGTACAACTGTACGGTAAACCCCAAATCGTCCAGCTCCGACATGTTTAGACTTGCTTGGTCGGACAGCCAGATTTCTGGTCCCCTCTTGAAATTAGAATTAAGACTAGCTGAATCATAGTTCTTAACCGTACCAAATGGCACCGTTCGCCCTGTAAAATACATTTTTTCAAATTATGTGCAATGCAGTCGCTAAGTTACATAAACGCGAGGTCATAGTATACCTGAAAGTGTATAAGTTATCCGTATGCAATTCAACTTTTTCTGGGGTAACATATTCCTTCAAATGAAAAAAAAAAAAAAAAAAGAAAGAAAAGCAAGAAGACTCATGTTCAATCCAGTGACCACACACCATGCAATGGTTTCTAGACATTGCGTCACTCGCTACCCAATGAGGGTTAATGCAGGTCAAAGGTCACTCCTAAAGCTATATAAGGCGGTGTTTTACGTAGACTCACCAGTCTGTTGGCATGTCCAGCAGGCGAATCTGATGGCACGTGCCTTCAGGTTCAGAAAAATCCAGTGAGCACCAACCATGCAATGGTAACATTGCGTCACTCACACTATTCAGTGCGGGTTGGGCAGATTTTCTTTAATTTATTGTTTCTTAAACAATTTTCATTTTTGACAGAGGTCGGAGGGGGTGAAAAATATANAGAATTAAGACTAGCTGAATCATAGTTCTTAACCGTACCAAATGGCACCGTTCGCCCTGTAAAATACATTTTTTCAAATTATGCGCAATGCAGTCGCTAAGTTACATAAACGCGAGGTCATAGTATACCTGAAAGTGTAAAAGTAATCCGTATGCAATTCAACTTTTTCTGGGGTAACATATTCCTTCAAATGAAAAAAAAAAGAAAGAAAAGCAAGAAGACTCATGTTCAATCCAGTGACCACACACCATGCAATGGTTTCTAGACATTGCGTCACTCGCTACCCAATGAGGGTTAATGCAGGTCAAAGGTCACTCCTAAAGCTATATAAGGCGGTGTAACACGTAGAATCACCAGTCTGTTGGCATGTCCAGCAGGCGCGAATCTGATGGCACATGCCCACATGCCCTCAGATTCAGAAAAATCCAGTGAGCACCAACCATGCAATGGTAACATTGCGTCACTCACACTATTCAGTGCGGGTTGGGCAGATTTTCTTTAATTTATTGTTTCTTAAACAATTTTCATTTTTGACAGAGGTCGGAGGGGGTGAAAAATATATTTCAAAATCATGACTTTTTGGTAACTCACTTTCAACACTACATTAGACAATGGTAAAAACTAAAACAGAGAAAAGCAATTTTTGGACAAAAACAGCAATTTCTTCTCAATATTTTATTTGTCTAAATAAATGTCAATTCTACGAATCATTCTTGTAAATTACAAAATAATAATAAAAAACATGCTTTTACGCTGCTGGTTCCCTCTTGAAACACTCCACATGTAACGCAAGTTGTGCAGTTGATATGTTCATTTCTGACAGAAAGCAGTCAATAAAATTGCCTAAAACATCTGTAACACTGACCGGACAGACCATTTTGCATAATAATTTTGGTCCCTACTTCACTATAAACTGAGCCACACAACAGTGGTCAAATTCCTGCTTAAATCAAGACGGCTACTCCAGCACACTNGAAAGTGCACGGCGCCGGCATCAGCATCGGCGACGACAGACGCAGGTGATGGCAATATGTACAGACACATCTGTGTCTGTACATAAAAAAAAGATGAAGTATATTCTTGTGGAAAGTTTTAGAATTACGTATCTTTATTTGAAAAAAAAAATATATATATATATATATATATATATATATATATATATATATATATATATATAACATCTTAATATAACTATTTTACACACACCTTAAAAAAAACTAAAGAGTGAACTCAAAACAATATCCAATCCAATCACCAAACCAAGTGAATAACTATTATTTGGAGTTCTCTTGAGCATGATATGTGACTTAAAAAAATAATTTGACAGAACAGGGATAACTGAAATATCTGCTTATTAGACAAAATGATAAAACATAAAAATTATTGGCAAGTCAACTGTTACACTGGTATTAAAAGGCTGTACCTGAAGTCCTTGTGTACTCTACACTTGACTCTGTGGGTTCCTAATCCAAGATCCACAAATCTCTGACCTCCCATGTAAACATAATACTGGGAAAAATAAATCTGATTATTACTTTACAGAATAATAAGATCTGACTGAAAACTTTAAGTATATAAAAATTCTCAGTCATTAGGCAAGGATATATTATCTGCCAGCAAACATAAAACAAATGTTAAAAATAGTCATCAAAAAGTCTATCAAATTGCAATGAAGTTGTATAGGAATAGATGTCAGCACTTCAGAATTTAAATGCATACCTGATTCAGTGCATCATAAAGGCTTTCATACAAATTCTCCAAGTTGAGGAGAACTACAGACCTCCCTGTTTCCATGCAAACCTTGATGCGGTTGATGTTCCTGCACACCTAAACACAAACAATTGTATATGATTACATCAACACAGAGATACACAAGACTTGTATACTATTCATCTTATACACTATATTCATTTTTGTATGACCTTGTCAGCTAAAACTAAATATCAAAGATATTACAGATGTACACAAATATTGTGACTTTATGACTTAATTGAGGAACTATGAACATACGTCTTATTTTCAATTATATATTTAATGTAATTGACCAAATATCTACCTGTGTGTATTCTTGGTCTTTTGGAAAACTGCTTCCGAATATGATGATTGTGTCTTTCACATTCAGGAGATGATGTTGTAGAATACTAAGAGCAGCATAGTTCTCTGTCAAGATGAGCAAGTACCTACTCTCGCTAGAAATGAAACTTAAAACATGCATCCATTTCTAATTAGATAATACTTCACACATCTATCAAAATGGCTTTAAAAAAGCAATATATGTGCTACATTTCTTTTTATCTCTCCTCAGGGCAAGATTTTTATGTACACTATGTAAAAACCAACTGCAAGCACATGTCAATTTATGAAGATTGATTCAGAATCAGTTTTACCTGTCCCCTATGCGTCCAGTGAGACTTGCACGGATAAGGCCAGAAGGAGAGTTGTCTGGATCATCTGGTCCAACCTAGGAAGAAGCATGAGCCAATTAGTTTAAGCAGAGTAAAAAAAAAAAAAAAAAAAACTGATGCAAATACATCTACAAAATCATGCAAGCAGTAAACCTATATAAGTACAGTGACCTTCAATAATTCTCCATGCATCGGTCTTCACCAGACATAAAATATGCTTTACTAAGCTGCTTATGAGCTATACATAAGATACTGAGTAACATTTTACCAAACTAAACATTAATTTATTAAAATGTAGCGTGTATTGCTCCTTACTGGTTCATTCTTGTTGACAGAAGGCAGTAAAGCAGCAAATTCTTCTTCTGGTTTGACAGTATCTAGGCCTCCAAAGTTCCTCTTTATAGCATGTTTTAATTGATGCCACGATGGGTGTTTTTTTGTGTCAGCAGCAAATGCATAAACCATCTTAACCAGACTGAAAAATTATAGAACCAGAGAAAACATTACAGCAAAAATCTGAAAATCCCATTTTAAAAGCATTATCAAATCCCACTGACAGTTTTGAAATAGTAATAAAAGTCATTGTGATGTCTGATTTTTTCTTACAAGCTATAGTCTCAAATAACATGCAATGGCAGACATGAACTTAATTTAAAGTACTACGTCATAATACCAACCTGTAGAAATCTCTTAGTCCAAAGAATTCTCTCATTGTTGATGTTGACCTTTCATACAATGTCAAGTATGCCTCTGACATGGGAGAAATGTATGGTTCAATCCAATTCTGCACCAGCTCATCCGAAGAACAGATGTCCCTACAATTATCAACAAAACATTTAAGGACGCTCTCTCATATTTCATATTTCTGCCCTAGCGATTTTGATTAAAATTTTAAGACAAAATCTTCTTACCATATGAGTAAAAAATATGAAAAAAAAAATTTGGGGTACTCCAGCTCGTTTTCGACAGGTGGCATCCCGAAAAACGCTACGTTTATTACATTGCCTTATATGGGGATTTTGCCAAAATGCCCTTAATTTTGCTGAAAAATGCAAAAATAAAAAATTCTGCCCTAGCGATTTTAATTTTATGTGGATATGTTATAGATCTTGGTAGACCTCAAAGAAATTTACAGAAAAATATGTACCACACCATGCTTGATGCAAATGCTGATATATATTAACCACGACATCTTGATTTTCCCCCTAAACATGAAGAAATTATTTTTATAAACTATGTATTATATAAAATTTGCTAAAGGTTGAACACAAGATTTTGTTAATTGAATGGGATGAAATAAAAAAATCAAATAACAGGGATCTTCCTGGGTCAAAATCTGGCTGGGCCATTTTTAAAAAATGTGTGCCGTGAATTTTTTTGTGATAATTCATTATGTTTCAATATAATTTTTTTTTATTTTAATCTTGATCATATTAAGATTAGAAACACTGAAAAAAGGCTTGGTGCTACTACTCTTATTGCACGGCCCAGGATTATGAGATCAAAGGATTTTCTGCTCTTTATTATTGCATACATCAACTAAATTTCTTGAATCAAGACAATATTCTAATACATTATGGGCTGAATAATTTCTGTTAAGTAATTTACAAACTAAATTGGTAATGATTGGGTAAATTTGGATAAAGTTGGAATAAAGTATAATTTATCTTCTAAAATATACTGTTTATTTTCCCAGCATAAAAAGTATTACATGTATTTGCATAAAAAACTTTGGTCCTCTGTTGTGTGTTTTATGGTTTTGTCCATTTGCACTTTAACAAAACCATTACAAGAATGACATCCCAACACGCCAGATGAGTGCACACCTACAGTATTGCATCTTTCCAGGAGAGCTAAAAATCGCACTGTTTACAGGTCATATTGTTCAATAACATACTTAAATCAAAAAAAAAAAAAAAAAAAAAAAAAAAACATGAATCTTATTATTTAAACTAATTGTGAGAGAAAAGAGAATTGTTTTCAGCATTCAAATCACCTCAACCTGGGTGATCGGGAACCAATGCTGAAGAAGACAATGTCTTGCTACACACATCGTAACCATATGACAAATCTAACCAATACACTTTGTGGTCAAAATTCAAGCCCTTGTGAATGTTTTCTGTGAGATAAGATCATGTCACTGCTATACAAGCCTTACTAAAACGCTCTATTCAATCCCTTCTTCACGTAATTTCGTACATTGCGGCATTAGTAAACAAAGTCGCAAGTGGGTACTTATGTCGTAAAAGACCAAGCGTTCACTGATACGCAACGCACTGTTGACATATTCGTAGCGATTCGACCAAAATAACATCAAATATTTCATACAGATTTCTTAAAAGGATGAATTACGTAATCTATTGCATGTATATTTTCATAATTAGCCGCTATCGCAAAAAAAAAACTACTCATGCGCGAAATCTGAGCATTAAAATTAATTTTAAGTGACGGTTTTTCAGTTAAAAGACTGGTTAATATACAAAAAGGTATTCAACAGCAAAAAAGTAAAAACTACAAACCAAACTTGTAACAAGCAACCCTTGGTAAGGACATTGTCAAAGTGAACTTGTCACCTCCAGCTGGTCAACTTTTTGAAGAAAACGCTATATCACTTCAATAATAAATTTTTATTTTGTAATTTACTATGACGTCTTGAGTTCTTGACCCATACCTGGCAGTTTGAGTCAACTCCATGTCATCAGGGACCCCTCTTTGCACAAGTATTCCTCTGTTCATCTTAGCAGGATCCAAAGCCCAGTTGGAAATCCCAATAAAGGCCACTTTTTTGTAGGGTTCAGGCTTATCATCACCATCTGAACCATCCTCTAACAAAGGGTGCAATGTCTACAAAATGTAGCAGAAAAATAATCTTTAAATATTTAAAAAATAATTAATTAATTTGTTAATATTCTTCCAACAAAGTTTCAACAAAACTGTAAAATAAAAAAACTGTAAAATCAAAACTGTAAAAACTGCATCATCAACACTGTAAAAACAAATACAAATAACCTTAAGGGGCATCCTTGGAGAATCTTCAGCTAAGCCAACTTCATCCAAGACTACCACAGAGACAAACTCATCTAGGTTTTTGTCTTTCTGGAAATGGGCACACTGACGGAAGGTTCCCACAATGCCCTCTGGTGTGGCAAGGGGGCTGCATTGGAATGAGCCCATACGGACCTTTGAAAATATAAATTTATAATCAATACATTTTTAAAAAATAAAATGCATCTTTTATCTGTTTCCACTTTTCATCAATTCTGCCACAAATTATATCACAAATATGTGAAGTATATATTGATTAACATCACTATGCTTCATTTAAGAAATATGGACTGTTACTCTTAATTATCCTATGGTGCATCTAGTAAAATGTAAAAGTAATCCAGCATCAGGTATTGTCTCAAAGCAATTGTTCCTATTTTGGCTTTTTAAATAAATAAATTTTTATTGTTTTGTTACAAAATGTAGAAATTTGGCAATAACACTACCTGCTTAAAGCTTTTGAATAGTTCTGAATGTGCTGAAGCTCCCTGCATGGCATCAGAGACTATTGTTTTAGCAAGAGACTTGGAACTCCCAGGTTTGCCAACAAGAAACAGTGGGATTCTCAGCTCTATGCACACCACCATCATAAACACATTCTCTTTCAGAGCTTGGTTCCTGGCAATGTTATCACCCAGCTGAACTTGATCCAAGAAAACATCCTGGCATCTAGACAGCACACCAAATATGATGTTATTATGATGTTCTGCACAATCTCAGATTTTTTAACCAAATGAACATTGAATCAATTTTACCACATGTAGCATATAAATGAGAACAGTTTTTAAGTATCATTACATCCAATTGTGAACCAGTTTTGACTTAAGCTTTCACAATAGTACACCTAGACATTTTCAAGTTTCTATAACATCCTCCATCATCAAAATACATCTGAACAAACAAAACTAAACATTCCTCACTCTACTATTTAGCATAAGAACCTACCTGACAATTTCTTCTTTGATAGTTGTGGCCCCATCAGGCAGACTGCAGGGAGCTGTGAACACCTTTGCAATCTCATCACGGTATTCTTTTCTCTTCTGTAGACAGGCATGATAGCACACACCAAGAGCAAGCAGCAGACTTCTGGTGACGCCATCTGGGGGCTGCAATAGTTTTTGTTATGTCCTAATACATTTATGTACAGATATTGCACACATGTTAATACCTGTGCAGAGAATCTTTTAGCAATCACTACAGGTGATAAATCAACATAATCAATATCCTCAATCCCGAGTATTTCACAATTCATTAATGAGATAAATGGCATATACAATAATAAGGTTGATTTATATTTAGTCAGTTTAGGCTGACTTCATCATTTAACGTATAATAATTGACCAAACTACCAATTCTCTGGCTAGAAATTTTCAGAACAAAAAGCCAACTGAATTGTTAAAAATCAATAAATACAATTTGATATTAAAAGAAAAAGCAAATCAACATACATCATATGTAATTTCTGTGACATCTTCTTGTCCTCTGTATTTTTCTAGCAGGTCTCTCTCTGCCCTCTTATCCATAAGATCCCACAAGTGATTACCATGTGAATAGAACCATGTCATCACATTCATGACTCTCTCAATGTCACGAAGACTAACAAAACTGCACTCATCCTAGAAGAACATGCTTCATTTACTGTATACATATGAGAGAGAGAGAGAGAATGAGAGAGAAAAAGAGGGAGAAGTCTCTGACAAACAGCTATTTTGCACAGTATTTCACTTTTATCCGAACTTTAGTATTTCACTTTTATCCGAACTTTGAAGTATGTAAAGCAATTTCATTAATTGAGAGTTTTGGCAAGGCCTTCTGTATGACGTATAATGTGCGACGTCATCACTTTGTGCGTAATTTTTCTCAAGGACAAGTCATAAGTCATACGGCACTATGTATGAATCGGTGATTACACGTAGGTAAGAAACGTATCAAATTTAATAGATTTACGCTTATTTCTTTCAAGTTTAACATACTGCAGAGGAATATATAGGGTGTTAAGATTCCACTGAATCACTTTTAGACGCTGTCGGTAGAAATACTCTGTGAAAACAGCTGGAAAAACAGCCAGTCAATCAGTCGTCCGTAGTAGCATCAAATTCAATTTAAGTTGATTTTTTTTCATAAACAACAGGATCTGCGGCATCAATTGACGTAAATAACACATTCCATTCAACATCTTAATTATTCATGTATCTAAAAAGAATCCAAATATTATAATATTTATATATAATATAAATAAAAATAATATTAAAAAACCGCATACGGAGTGAGACCTGCCAAAACCACTGCTAGCTTTCTCGCGTACGTAAAACGTATTACGTATTGACTATACGTTACACGTCATACGGAAGGCCTTGCCAAAACTCTCTAATGTTAAAAATAATATTAAGTCATGCAAACCTCCTGCTCTCTCATGAACTTCTGTGAGGCGGCCAAAACTGCGCTGATTGTCCTTTGCAGCCCAGGAAGATTGGGTAGTGGGTTACTGTTCAGCTGCAATACAGGTCCAAATGAGAAGATGAAAATACGTAAAAATTGCATAAATTGAATCGTATCACAGATCCAATAGTCACTGAACAGAATATTTCTTTGACTATTTGTTGATCACATTTTGCTTTGGTTGTAAATAATGGCAACACCCTTATGCGACAGTGATCCTTTTTAGAGTAAATAATGAAGACAAATAAGAAGAAAACAAAAGAAGAATTGACTTAAGAAGAAAACAAATAAAGAATTGACTTACATATCTTTGTACAATCTGTCTGATGTACAATTCTTCTACCTCAGCACTAAGCTGCCCAAAGTCCCAAACCAATGGCAGCATACTTTGTGGCAATGCTTGAACTCTGTAGACAAGTTGTCTCATGGGCACATGGCCTGAAGAAAGAGCACAGCAACTGAATTATAGCAAAGGCATACTTAAGGGTGTACACAGTGTCATGGTATAATTACTGTCACAAGAACACTCCATAAATGTATGTCTTTTAAATAACATGCACCCCAATTACTGTAAATAATAAACTTTATTACTCCAAAATCACTATATTTAATTGGACTAAAATGGAATCTCTTCATTTTAATTTTCAAATTAATAACTGTTAATACTTACCTAGTTTGTCTTTGGTGTTTTCTGCTTCTATGTGATAACCTAGCCCAGACTGTTCTAATCTTCTGATCATGTCTGTTGAATGCCTGTAATGAGTTCAAAATATAAACTTATTATGAATCATAATGAATATATAAGTATATTATTACTCATTAAAGTACTGATAAATTATTTGTTCTTTAATAAGCAGTAGGTAATCAAAATATCTTTAAAGTTAAAAATTGTGTCAGGGTTAATCAATTCTGATTTTATATTGTTTCTCAAATGGTCAAAATTGCAGTTTTAGATTCTAAATATGGTGGCACCAGAAATAGCAAATCTGATACTTTTCTACAAGCATACCTTCTATAAGGATTGCAAGCAGCAATGATCTTCAGGCCATTTTTATTGAGGGGAAGTTGTTTTCCACTCAAAGTTCCATCACACATCACTTCTTTGATCAACCCTATAGCCTCAGTGGTGTTAGCTTCATCAAAAAACAGAACTGTGTGGATAGGGTAAGGGGAGCGTCTATTGTTTTCTTTTGCTATGTCCATAGCTTGTGTGACTTTCTTTGCTATGTCTGTGTGAGTGGTCCCTCCATGCACCTTTTGTTAAAACAGATATTATGAAAATGTTTTAATAAGTATTAAATGGCTTGTAATTCCACAACAAAACAAATAAGCAATTTAATAATTTCAAAGTAAAAATTCTTATTAAAATCAACTAAAAAGCATAAAAAACCCATGAACTGAAATTGCTGGACATTAAATCACACTGGACAAAAGCAAGCAGATTCTACTGAAAGGGGAGTTGAAAATTATTACTGTTCACCAAAAAAGCTTCCAAATGAAAGAACTGTAACAAGACTTTACAATTTGCTATATATAGCTCTAAGGTGATACAAATGTACCAAAATTTACTTATAAAAGATATATATTATACCTATTTATTTATTTATTTATTTATTTATTTATTTTTTATTAACCAAAGAGGATCAAGATAAATGACACTTAGGCATGAAGGAAAACAGAAAAAGTCTTCTTACCTTCATCAAGATCATGTTCTGTATATCTGTGCCCACCGGTTTCTGTAGATCGCATAAAAATTTGATCAACCTGGTCTTCCCGCACCCAGTCTCCCCCATTATCACAACTGGGATACCACATCTGGAATGAAACATTGGAGAGTTTTCAAATTTAAAGAAATTCTCATTCATAAAGAAGAAAATTACTATGATCACATGTACAATCGCAAATGATATAAAAAATTCTGTAGTTTTACTACCTGTTATAGAATGCTTGTTGGGTTAGAGTTATTGTAAAAATGTACTGAAACTAAAAAATGGAAAAAAATTGCAATCTTCTAACATAATACAAGTCTAACTTCTCTTTGCATATCACAATAAAGGACATGTTTTCAACCTCTTTCACTTATAATCTAGATAACACAGCAGATCTAATTATTGAGTCTCTATGAAACTTGATTTACAAAAAATAACTTCTGGAGGCAATATTTTTCATCCAATTATTAGGTTTGCAAAATTAATAGAATTTCAAGGACTTATACCTGAATCCCATGTGAATGGCCAGCATCTTTTTCACATTGTCTGTTGTCAGTTCATAAGTAGTATCTGGATCATGGATGTTTTCCTGGAGGCCCATCACACTGCATAACTTTATTATCTTCTGCAGCCTATTAATTTAATTGGTAAAATTTTTTAGGATACTGTAATCATTTATTATAATACAAATACCAAAAATGAGTTTTTCCCCACATCTAACTATTCAATAATGCATTAATTTTTGTGCTGATTCAAAACAATGAAAAAAACAATGTATAAGCATAGGCATCTCAAAGCTTTAATCATCAATTTAACACCTTTCTATTTTAAAGTGGGATAGCAACCAGTATGAGGCGTAACTTCATCCCTGAGCAAGATTTTATCATGAAAATTGGCATAGTAGACACCAAGTGTATGTGCTACAATCCCGTGCAAGCACTTTGGATTCAAATGCATTTGTCCTATTGGAGTTTTGAGCCTCTAAATACAGATTTTAATTGAACAAAGGGACATTTTTTTTGCTTTATCAACTATAATCTGAACTTAGACTTTTAAGAAAAATTGCCAGCAGGGTTTTGTAGTACTTAATGGTGTCATTAAATTGGAATAAAACAGTGATTGTGGTAGCAGTAAAAGAGAAATCTGAGAAACAGATTTTTGTTTTTTTTACCCCAAAATTGTAATTATGACATCACCCATTAGATGACATATGTCTAAATGTTAATTAATATAGTCACAGAACACTGAAGGGTGACCTTAACAAATTCCAATTCTGTTTCAACTAATAAATATGCAGCCCTAAGAAATAAACAAGGCAGCAAAGCTGTCAAATGTACAGACAAAAACAAAATAAAAATACAGAAAAAGGGGCATTTTGTCAATTTTGATGCAATAATAAATAATGCCTATAATAGCACTGTCAATCAACACTGAATTTTAATCATGCACAACGGGTAACATGGTCAATAACAGAAGCAGATCCAGAGGTATGTTCTGACATTATTCCAAATTATCTTTGTTGATCCATCCTCCATTTTTGATGGTCTTCCAACAGAAAAAACAGATACCCATCAATGTGAACTTTAAAATCTGACCGTCTTCCGAAAGACCCAGAAGACGGCCTTAATCTGCCCCTGCAATAAGATTACAGTTTCAGAACTATGAGAGTTCAAATTCAAATAATGAAAATCCCAATATTTGAAAAATGATAACAGTGCATAAAATAATATTACATAAAAACCAATGCAACTGCTTATGTGGAAATACAGAAAATGTGAAGAGCTTCAGGTGTTTGAAAAAAAATTTAAAAAGAAAACACAAAAATATTCCAATAAAGCTGCTATTCAAACTTTTAATCTTGCTATATTAACATGATATGTATAACCCCAATGTGTTTGAGGATAATACAGCATTAATGTTGGCGTTACACATTTTTTTCTTTTGTAAACTTATTTGCAATATACAACAGCATTTACCTGCATAATTATCACCAATTCCTAATTATGTGACACAGTTAAGAGAGCTTAACCTATGGGGCTTTACTGGAAAATCTCAAAGTGTGTTTTATGTAATCCTATATAATGGGCACTTGGAAATTAATTAGGCAAGTGATTTTATAGCTCTGAATTTAGCTTGTGACTACCCCAAGGGACAATTACCACCATCCATAAACAGTAGCCCCATATAGCACTCTATAGGTCTGCATTGCTTCCAAAACAGAAAACAATCAAACTGATTTTCCAACACAAACTGCACTTCAGTCTTATGAAACTTTTCAGTAAGTTTGAGTATCACAAGAAAATGGTTTTTCCTTAATGGTCATTCTGGCAGTGATGTCCAAAATAGGGTTTTCTTCATCTTTTATCCAATATAACATAATGACATCAATTTTTAATAATAAAATAAAAGTATCATGGATATTCAGAAAATGTGACATGGAAAGGTCTTCAAGGCCATGGAAGTTCAGAGTCACACCTTCAAAATGCCAAAATGTAAACGAGATAAGTGTACTGAAATGATTTTCTTTCCACTTTCAACACTTTTTTTACATATAACAAAACAATCAATTTAGTCGTTTTTAAATGAACAACTAAGAAAATTGTTGACATAGGAAAAATATCAATAGAACAATTTTAAATGTCCAGTTTGCTCCATTCTGAACATAGTGAATGATTGAATCTGACAAACTGTAAAGATGAGTTTATTTCGATTTTTTGACACTTTATTACACGATGCACAATAACAGGTTTATCATCATTTTTATATTATCAACTAACAATATTGTAAAGATACAGAAAATGTCAAAGGAACACCTTTACATATTTAATTAGTTCACAAATGAGATTGTTGACATGCCTAAGAATTAAATCTGAGGAAAAAACACTTATATACAAAAAAAGGCATAACTTCACCAAAACTGAATCAATCGAACTTATTTTTGAACTTTATCTGTATTTCAGTAAGACTGATCACCCCTGTTATTTGCAAGACAATTGGCCAATTGATTTTCCTTGAAATGTGTTATTGGTATTGGAAATATGCTGAAAAAAGTGAAAAAAAAAACAGCATAACTTCCATAAAATTGCTCCGATCACACCGATTTTCGAACTTGACCTGCGTATTATAAATATTTATCAGTTTTGTAAGTTTCAAGCCAAAAGGTAAAACAGTTTTTCACTTATCGTGTTATCGGTGTTGCATATATGCTGAAAAAAATGAAAAAACAGCATAACTTCCATCAAAATGGCCTGATCATGCTGATTTTCGAACTTGACCTGCGTATAATGAATATTCATCAGTTCTGTAAGTTTCAAGCCAAAAGGTAAAATGGTTTTCCACTTATCGTGTTATCAATGAAAGTGCACGGCGACGACGACAGACGCAGGTGATGGCTATATGTACAGACACATCTGTGTCTGTACATAAAAAGGGATGATTCCTTTTTATAAGCCTTAACTTAACAGGACATTAAAATACATTTTCTTTCACACAAATAACACTGCAGTTGACTTAAAACCTACCTGGGCAAATTGTCAAAGTTTTCATTCAGGGGCACTCTATTTGCCATGAGGGCATCTTTCAACTGAGCTGGCATGACTCCTCGTTCAATGATTTCGTTTGTCTGATTGTCAACAATGTCTCCATTTTGATTGATATTGAACCCCATGAATGTCATGGAGTGACCATCAGCATTGAAAAAGGTGTATGGATGAGAACTGAAAGATACATACAGCTCTTGCTTAACATGTATGGTTTTTCACTGGACAACTACTTGTCATAAGAACTCATCAAAAATTTTGATAATATAACATCACTGAGCATAATTTTGACTTTGTTACATGTACAATAATATGCAGAGAAAAAAGTTGTTGAAGAATACAATTTCTGCTTCAGAAAACAATCCCAAACCTGAGTTCCCATCTCCGCTTCAGCTGGAAACGAGCCAACACATCTTCTTCTTCTTCCTCTGCTAACCACATCTACATTTAACAAATAAACATCACTTCAATATTACAGTAATCTCCGGCAGTTTTTTATAACTGTTAGATCTATAATGTTAGACTATGCCACTATTAGAGCTCATCTGTGCATCAGAGGTCTGTTAATTATGGTTTCTTTTACTGTTTGGAGTTGTTTTATATAATTTAAAAAATCCAACATGGGCGTCAACAGCCAGAGAAATGTTTTTACTTAAATTTGTTGTTTTTGGCTTTCCCTTGAGAAGTACCTGATGTCCTGGTGTCTGTTCTGATATATCCAATGATCTTGTAGCAAAGTCCTTTGACATCTGTATCATGAATCTAACTACAAACTGAAGAAATCCTGGGAGGTCTCCTGATGCAGCTGCACTACAGAAATTTGAATTTTCACAATCTTGGAGTTGGGTATTCAAAAACCATACAAAATGCCGTAATTCAGCCCAGGATGGGTCCTCAATTCCACAGTATCTGTAAAAAATAAAAATATAATAATAAAAGAAACAAAAACAACAAATTAATTAAAAAATACAGCATGAAATATGACATCTAGGATGGCTAGTCAATTCAAACACTTTCATCAACAAATCAAGGAAACACCACTTTAAAAAATGGCTCACAAAAATCCATCTGTCATCCTTTAAAAGAACTTCCACCAAGTAGATGACTTTGTTACAAAAATTCGCTTGTGAAAATTCAAATGTATGTTGGTACCTCAGGAGCACCTGAAGGCACTCAGCATGAGTTTTCTCTGGTGTGCGGGGATTAACACCTCCCAGACCTTGCCCCTGCATCATTCTGTGTAGATACTGGAATGGTCTTTGGAATATGACACTGCGGAACTCTGTATCATCCATCAATTTATCATGTGCAGAACAGTCTGAAATTATTTACAAAAGCAGACACTTTGACAAAACTTAAATCCAGATTAATTGACCAACACACTGACTTGGCAAAATAAGACTTATTATTATTTTAATTACTAATACGAATCATGCAAAACCACATGACTAATGTGAATCATGCAACAACTACATGCTTATCTAAAATAAAAAAAAAATTAATTGTTGACTTTTAAGCCTTTGGTGCACCAGAAAAATCAATTTTACACCTGCTGATCAACAATTTACAACCAATGCATTAAACACTGTTGAAACTGCAAATGAGACAATTGCTATATTACTTATTTAAATACAAATGTTCAGTACCCTGTGGTTTCCTCATATCATTGATGAGAATGTGCAGACTTTCCTTGGGTGATCTACACTTGACACTGGGCAAGAGTGTCAGGATGTGGTGAACAAACTGAACTGAAGGCTGCACATGTCCTCTCTGGAGCACAAACAAAAGAAAGCTAGGCCTGAGGGAAACTTTTCTTTGCAAGTAAATGCCATTAAACCGTCTTAACATCAATATGCAGCAGTAATGTAGTAGCTCTTATTCTTAAACTTTATATCTAACAAGTCTTTGTTGGTCTTAACTGCAGTTGTGAAGTCTTACTATATGTACTAAACAACAGCTGCATGTAACAAAGGAACTGGAGATTATGATCAGATAATTAAGTACTGTCTTCTACCTGCCCCTTTTCACCTTGAAAAATACATGAACAGGTCACACCAATTCCAGAATGCATGTCCACGTAAATAAAGAAACAAAATACTTTTAAAGAACTGTGAAAAACAAGCGCCTCACCTGATGATGAACCTCTTGTCTCATCATGAGTGGCAATGTTTCAATGACGTACAAGTCCCAAGGGGATTTTCTCCATATGTACCCCTTTTCATCCACCAGAGCTCCCAGAACTAACAGGTTGAAAAGTAGGTTGTCTACACCTTCTTGTACCTGTCAGACATATCATGGAAAAATTTTAGAGGAAAAAAAATAATAAATGGAAAATTAAACCAGACTTTCATCAAAATACTTAGTGAATACAGATATATGTATCACAGGGATATCAAAAGGCAATATATTATTATTATTATTATGCACTGTGTGTATTATCAGAATAAGAAAACCTGCATAATATGCTATTTTATTTTCAAAATAAAATATCAATTAATCAAACATAGGACTTACTTCATGTGCAATGTCAAGGTGAAAAAGTCTGGGGATTGTCTGGCCTGGGGTTGGGGTATAATTCAGTAAAGTTGACAACACAGCTGAGTAATTCACAGTCTTTTCTTGCAGTGGTATTGTAATGCTCACTTCCATTCTCTGCATAGATGGATTCAATATCTTGACTTGTTTAGCTAATCTCCTAGCCACTAAGGTCTTTCCAGCTCCAGCCCTCGTCGACATTACTACACGTACACAACATCTACCATTCACAAAAAAATTGAAAAATAAATAAATAAATTAAATAAAAATCATAAATAGATAATATGATAAAAGAACACCTATAGGTCTTAACAAAAGAAAAAAGGTATACATTTTGAAGACATGAAAAAACAAATTATTTCTAAACTCCTACCAATGGCAGTATCTCACATACAGTGCTTTTGACATGTGCTATACCTGCAAAGCACAAAACATACAAGTGAAATAATCTAACAATTAAACCCACCAAACCCTTTTCATCTGGTTTATCCTAAATGTTAATCTGTATAGAAAGAAGTTTACATTTTTTCTCAATTCACTCACTTTTCAATGTCCAAAGAGGAAACTGGTTTTAAAGGACCCTCAGGCACACGTTGGAACTGTTGTTTCAAATAGTTCTGTATCTCTCTCACAGGGTAAATCAGTGGAGATTGTACGCGGTACCTGTCCAAGGCTGACACCAGACGTGCCTTGTCTTCTCTTTCACTGCTACATAAAACAACCAGTTGATAGTCTGTAAAATTAGAGAAATGGAAAATTGTTATGGTTTTGATTCTGGAAAATAAAAAATAAGAAAAAATGACTAATGTCCTCCGCTTTTTTCTACATACAAGAGACACTGATAATGTTTTGCATATCTTACAAACCGCATGCCATTTTCAGATTTTTGAAGTGGCAACTATAGCTTTGTGCCCTGACATTCTTGCCTGTTGTTCTCTTGACCAGTTTTTCTTCTGCTTTTTCAGTAACTTCATAGTCCAACATGTCAGCATTGACCAAGCAGTAGATTTTCCCAGAGTCATCTTGCACAGCCCTATTCAAAAGTAACAACACCTGAAAAAGAAAACAAAACAATCAAATTTTTATTTTGGAACCAATTAAAGTGTAAGTCCCTTCCCTTTGCTATATCATTCATTAGTGATACATGTTAATTCCTGTATTCAAGTATACTTAACCAGTGAGCGGCATTACATTTGAAACAAATCTTTTGACTGCAAGATGCAATCTGAATTTGTTAAGTCTCCTGGATAATAGGTAGCAATAAAATATGATAGCCTTGGAGAGGAGTAAAATGCATGGTACATGGGCACAATTTCAACAACTTAAATGGTTCACATTTGGGGGTTAGGTGTGGGCAAATGGCTGCAGTAGTTATAAATCAAAATCCAAGGAAAAACTTTTCCAGTGTTCTCTGCATCTGCTTAACACCTATTACTGTTCCAGTGCCCATGGTTCTGAACTTACTTCTTCCACTGTGGTTTTTGCTGTACAAACCAGCACTTCATCTTCAGCTGGCAAAGGTTTGGTAGGATCCAACATGTACACAGACAACACAGCATTCAATATGTCAGCTGTATTAATAAAATGCAATTCAGTACATAGAACAGATGATTTCTGATTTAAAAGTCACTTTTTATCATTAAATTTACTATTTTCCTTCAAGGAAATAGTTTCACAAAAGGACCAAACGATTGTTTTCCTCCTGCTCTTGGATGAATGCTCATAGATGAACGCAATATATTATAATCAATCTACAACATTTTTAATTGAATGTGTTAATACATTAGGAAAAGGACAAAAGTCTTATCCATCTATAAAAACACTGTATTTAAGTTAATAAACTTAAAGCAATAAAAAAGCAAATACATCAGACTAAATAAACAAAGACTTACCTTGTGGACACACTAACAGATTAGGTCTTCCTTTCTGCAAACAGGTTTCAGGGAATGTCCTTTCGAGTTTCACTGGTTCTAGAATCAGCACATTAATACAAAAAACGAAAATACATGTAAAACTGTAAAATCAGTTCTCCAAGCTGGTACACATACAGACATTTAACTAGGAAAAAAAGAAATAGATTTACTGACATCAAGGCATAACAGATGGCTAAGGTTTAAGAATTCTAAAAAAAAATTAGCAATTATCACCTCATCAAGAGATATTGCCTGTGTAAAATAAGTGCATGTTTCCGTGTCTGTATGTAATATTACTCAAATATCAAAGTTAAATGGAACTCAAGTTATTAATACCTAGACGTGCAAGGTGAGCTAACATCAGACCTAGATGCTCAATGCTAAGGTAATCAGAGACACTTGTAGCAACCTTCCCAAAGAAATTCCCCCACAGCTCTTCTAACTGGTCTTTCAATGAGCTTAAAAATCAAAATTAAATGAAGATCAAAATTTGAAACTTACAGTAACAATGAGTCCAGTTACTTAGTAAACTAATATAATACATATTCACCTTAAATCCTTCTAATAACAATCATTTAGAGAGTGCATAAAAAAAGTTACTAGCAAAAATCAGAAATTGACAATTACAGGCTATTGGAACTAATATGATCAATTTAACCTTTTTTGTTTTTTCCCCAATGTAGATTGAAGCAATTCTGCAGCCAAAGTGCCCATAGACATTCCAGCACTGAGTCTGGCAAAAGTCAGGTCAACTTCTTCAATATCTACTTGATGGTCTTGACCTGCAGGGGTACAAATTGTGGCTTGCAACTGTCCTCTCTGAAAAGCATTCCAGTTGTCCATACACCACAATAACCCTGAAACAGATGTAGGTTAAAATTTTTTAAGTAAATGTTAAACTGGCAATGTATTGGCACTTCTTTTACCATAAAAAACAAAACCTCTTAATACTGGACTTGGATGTTATAATGACACAAGCTGACGTTGAGAATGGTATCATATATGATTGGATCTTTTATTGGAGACCAAACAAGCCCTGAAAGCCAGAATAAGCCAACCCAGAAGTTAAGAGGCACAAAACATGATCAGCCCACGTGATCACTGACACTTGTTTCCCTGTTTAAGTTTGGTACGTGGTATCAAACACAAGGTCGGATCCTTGCATTATTATTTTGTTAAATCAGTATCAGTTTAACTTTTTCCTTTATAGTGACATCACTCTCCTAGATGAATCAGAACATTCATTTGTGATACCAGTTTGTCTTAAAAAGACTTAATATACCTTCATCAACATCCTCAGGACCACAGTTTTGAAGGGCCATGAGGGCAAGGTTTTCTGGATAACCTGCTTCTTTCACAGCTTCAAGAAAAGTCTCCACTTTCTGTTTTTCCTCAACATCATCAGGCATTTCACTTGCATTGGGCAGCTCTTCAGTCATTTCAGCATCGTTCTGCTCCTCTGTGTTTCTCCGTTTCTCCATTTCTTGGAGATCCTGAACAGCTGTCTTCATCACCTTTAATAGATCCTGCTTAGTGGAGTTTGCTTTCACATTGTGGAGCATAGGATAGATCAAATCAGATGGTTTTTGACCCTCTAATCCCAGTTTTGAAATCTCTCGTCTGAGGATCACAAGCTGCTCTGTGCTGAAGAAATTCAACTCATAGTAACTGCACCTTTGTTTTTCTATATACTTAAGCCAGTCTTCATAGCAATTCTCCATGAATTCACACAACTCTCTAATTTGTGTGCTTAGGCCTTCCTCTTGTAATCTGTCAGGTTTGCCTCGAAGTTCTTGTTCTGCTAAACCAAAGCTAATTATGGTGCTCCATGGTTTTGTGAGGTCGCAGAAAAACTTTGATGTCCAATCATTAAAGAGGACACTTCCTGCAGCACAGATTTTCAAGTATGCCTTTGCAAGGCGGCCTATGGCATCAAAAACCTAAAACAAATAATTTGTTTAACAGTCATTTAAGTAACTATTAAGCAAACAAAATAACATGGAATGCAGCATACATGTACTTAGTAGGTTAACCAGTTAATTTTAAACATACTGCATCATATTACCTCTTATACTAATATATCAGTGAATATATAAGCTGTTGCTTGCATTCAGCCACTTCATTGACATCATAACCAAGTTCCAAACCTCAGATCAAACTTCTCGGCTTTACAAATTCTTAGTACACTCAAATATCACTTTATACATGTTGTTCCTGTTATATATATATATATATATATATATATATATATATATATATATATATATATATATACTGTGCCTGTTGGGCCATGTACATTGTATAAAAGCACTAGTGCCAAATCAAATGAAATTATGACCAAAAAAAAAAAATGGTTCTACTGTTCTTCCTAAACGAATTGAGGTGAAGTTACAAAATGTTTCAAAATGCTGCTCAGAGCAAAAAAAAAAAAGTCAGTTCATAAGTGGTATGGACAAACAATGTGTGGCAACCAGTAAACTTTGTATAAATTTACATGTAAGACATATGCGCTGTTCATCCACATTCTATAACCACTTAAAAAAAGAAATGACAAAAACCTTGAACAATCTTATTATTGTACAATGTACCTCTACAAACTTGTCCACTTCAGCTTTGCTGTGGTCTACTTTCCCAACTTTTCCTGCTACTAACATCAATTTACTTTGGAGGTCATTAAGCTTCTCAAAAGTGTATTCTACTGGTCTGTCATCTTGAAAGTCCACATCTTCTTCACTTCGTTTTCCATATGCTCTTGGGTCAGGTGGAACAACTAATTTTATAGTGTTCTCCATGGTCTAAAATAAATCAGTAAATCATGTTTGTAACAACATGCATTTGTTACCATCTGAAAGAAATGCCCATTACTGTACATAATGTGACAAGATACTAGCACATGCATATATGTGTTTGTCTCTCTTCATGAATATGCTCATATAGTAAGGACAAATAAATTGAAATATTTTTATCAAATGTCATATGCCTGAAATAGCAAAGTGCAAATTCAAAAGTATAAGGAAAAGTCTCAATTTGTCCTACATTTTATAAAATGATTATTTTTGAATACACCCAACAAAACACACCCATGTTTTACATAAAAGTTTTATATAAAATGAAACATTCTGTCATATTATAGTCAGAAACTTGCCTACCTTTGGCTGATCAGGTCTTAAGTTTCCAACTTGATAAATGCCTCTGGAGTTGATAGCCTCAGCCTGAGCCAGTGAGGAGACCTCTACTGATCCATGTGAATCCTTGATCATCTTTACCCAGTCCAGGTGTCTCATTGTGTCTCTCTGGAAAAATATTGTTTTCAGGTAGCTGCTTTAATATATGGGTGCATGTTGATGAATTAAGCTATGTTTAAAAAAAAGTAATAAAAATATAAAAGTAGTATAACCTTTAAAGTAGTATAACCTTTGGCAATACCCAAATCAACAGCACATTTCAGGAAAAAACTTTCAGGAAGCAACCCTATAAAACCTATATTAAACAACACTTACCAACTTCACAGGCAAATGCTTATCATTGTCTAGGGCATTCCACACCAACTCACACTGATGGAGAAACTGATGAAAGTCACAATCTGCCTGGACTTCATAAATGAGAGGTGCAAAACCTATTGCTGCATCATGCAAAATGGACACCCTGTCAACCTCCATGTCTGTCTCTCCTGCTTGAATCATGGCAAGCTCCACCAATACATTCAGTTCTTTGGTTCCTAAAAACAGATTAAAAAAAAATATTTGAAACCTTGCAAACATGTTTTATCCATAATCATATTCCAGACTCAGGCTAGCACAATTTTGAAATAAATTTTATAGCAATGAATATCTTCGTTAACAAATGAATCCCCAATTGGCATTTGAATGATTTCTTTATATATAACTTAAATTACAATTTATATCTAAAGTTTAAAATGTCTCATATTGGGTAATATATAAGTATATCTTAGAGAAATGCTTCTAAATATAGGGAACAAATACCTTTGATGTTTTCTCTTAGCCAGTTAACAAGTGGACGACATTTAACAAAATCTTTAATACAGTCAGACTTTGTCTTGTCCACACGGATCAAAACCTTTCCTGCATCCACCACTTTGCTATTGATAGAGCTCAATTGGTTTTCTTTTCCAGCACCCTACATTTAAATAAAATTAAAAAACTTAAATCATTGAAATGACCAAAGATATAATAATATCAGTAAGGTTAAATCAAAATAGTTTGATGCATCTTTTGGGTCTCCTAGATTGAAACAATAACGATTCAGTTTACTGATTCAGTAAACTGATTAACTGTATAATGTAAAATTAAATACAGATAAATGAGAATAAATGAGCAAGCACAATCACTTAAAAAAAACATATCTTCAACCAAATTGATACTGAACAGAATAATTCAGATGTTGATATGAAAAGAAATACAAATTTGGAAGCAATTTGTGAAAAAAAAACTAAGCACTGAATTATCTTGATGTGAACATTTTTTTATTAATGCTTACTGCATCAACAAGAATTTCTATGAGGCTGAAGTCACCAGTCAGTCCAAGCTCTTTCTTTGCATCCATCATGACTTGTGCCCCATAGCGATACTCATGAAGTTTGTGATACTGTTTGACCTGGTCTAGTCGATGAGGTATCCAGCTGGCATCTTTCAAAATATTGCCCATTAGATCAAACTCAACTTTGAGCTCAGGGTACCTATCCTTGAAAGAAGCTAAATATTCATCCATCTGACCAAAAGTGACAGTGCCCCGTTTGATAGACTTGGCCAGGTTCTCCCATGAATGGAAAGCTTTCCCCCAGACTTCAGTTGCAACTTCTTGAAGTGACAGTACATCTGTTTCTCCATCTGTGTCTTCTAGTTTCTCTTTGTGGGCAATTGATCCAAACTCCTTCCAGAAGCATACAAATATGTGACTGCTGTGGATTTCTGTCAAAGGCATCATCATGTCAAAGACTTCAGAAGGCGGCTCAAAGAAAGTGATAGCTGGCTGCCAGTTTTGTGTTACATCAGGATGCATAATGTAAGGCTCACAGATATCACTCAGATCTCTGCAGCTTATGTCCTGTCGGAGTCTGCGATCTAACGCATCAGTGTTCACTGAAACATACAGCCAATGATCATCATTAACCATACTATCAAATGAAAAATTACAAAATGATCTGATGTTTAATCATGTAATACAGTGATTAATCACCTAGATTTAAAGAAGCATTAAAATAGCAAAGTCTCAATAAAGTTTTAGGCAGCTCAGCTACAACATCCTGGGCAGATTCAGAGAGGGTAAACAAAATCTGGTTGACCTCCCCTTTCACCTGGTATTTTTTAGATAAAAAATCATTCTCTTCATTTACACCCCCACCCCTCCAACCTCTCTAGGTAACTGGTTTATCACAACCAGCAATGATACAAACATTTCATGAACTAAGCAGCAAGAAATTGGTGCAAACCCATTTGCAAAGCTAAAAAATGGTGGAAATGTAGGGAAAATGCAGAATATGAAAGAATGCCATGCATGCTAACTGAAATGTTTCAAAACTGAGCCCATTTTCTGAAATCCTGGACCCATTCATATATTGCGAAATACAATAAAAATACAAAACCTGGTTGTATTATTTTGCAGAGTCCTGTAAAAATTCCCAAGAATTGTTTGATGGACTCAAAAGCCTCCATTTCCTTTAGACGATGCTGAAGAATGATGTCTAACTGATCTACTTTGGATTGCTTCATTTCACTCTGGCCGGATTCTGATGATTTCTGGTGCTGGCCTTCTTTTAGGGCTTCTTTTTCAACATCTTCTATAGTTCTGCACAGTCCCAGGAAGGAATCCCTGTTTTTCAACACTAATTCCAGCATGCGGATCTGAACAGTTCCATTTTCCACATCTTTCACAGTTTTGTGCAAAAGCGATGACACCTCTGTCAGTCTGATTTGACAATCGTCACTAAGAATTGCTGTCCTTTGCCGAGTGCCTGGATAAACATTAAAAATTCAAATTACAAACAAAAAGATGCATAATAAGATGCAAACACAGACCCCCCTGGTTTAAACCTTTCTCAATTCATTGGTCAGAAGAGGTTTTTGTGTTAAAGCTGTGACGAATCAATAGGGTCATCTAGACTGGATGAGTTACCTCTAAAACATATGAGAACCATTGGCCATCGTTCTACATTTTTTGGTTGCACAACGTTTTTGTGTTGAATATCACTCTGACTTTGAGCTTTGACCTTCTTAATTCAAAGTCAATAGGGTCAATCTAAAATGAAAAGTTAACCTTTCTACCAAATATGAGGACCATAGACCAAATCATACTTATTATTATTATTATTTATTTACTTATTTATTTATTTATCTATTTTTGTGAGACAAGGCACGTGCAAAGCAATATAATCCTGCTCTTCAAAGGGAAACATTAATGGTAATGGCTCAATCATATTAACCAAGAAAAATTATCAGTTTTTCAGATAATTTAGGAATCATTAAAAAACATTTCTATGTATTTTTAATGTTTCCAAAATTATCTGAAAAATATATTTCTATGTAGCATTCTTGGTGCTTTTACTGTACAGAATAACTAATAACTCGACCTTTCAGTTGTGTTGCTTCCACTCAATAGAAATATATTCTAATTTTAAGAAATTATTAACACTTAAAAAAATACATTATCTGTAAAATTCAAAATTTTCTCATGTAAAAATAAAATAAACAGCAAAGGTGGTAAATATATAATCATTACACTAGAGGATCAGAGAGGCAATACTGCCTTCGGATATTGTACCACCAGCTGGAGTAAGCGCATTCGTATGGAAACCCCTCCAAAAAAGGGACACCACCACCAGTCATGTGCTTGACAAGCTCTATAAATTGCAATCAACAAGAGTTCTCAAAATATTCAAAAAAATATAACTAAAAATGGTACAATCAAGCAGATTTTCAAATTGACCTGCATTTTCCTAACATTGATCACTCCTGTGATTCTCTAGACAATAGGCCCATTGGTTTTCCTTGAAATGTGTTGTCAGTGTTGCATATATGCTGACAAAAGAAAAGAACCTAGAGGCAACACTTGGAAAATCTCTGCTAGTTTTGAAGATATGAGGGGCAAGAAAATATGCAAAGCTAAGTTCATGGTGAAAAAGTAGGTCAAAGGTCAATTTCAATGTCACAGTATATGACTTCTTTTTCAAGTTCAATAGTAACCATGGGCATTTCTTTGCCAATTATGGAGATTTAAAGGCCAGAAAACGTAAAAAGCAATTCATCATAAAAAGTAGGTCAAAGGTCAATTTCAAGGTCACAGTTAGATAGCCAGTGTATGACTTCCTATTCAAGTTCAACAGCAACTTTGGGTGTATCTTTGCTTGTTTTTGAGATATAAGGGATAAAAAAATGGGCAAAGATCAGTTCATGGTGAAAATTAGGTCAAAGGTTAATTTCAGGGTCACAGTTAGATTGCCAGTATATGACTTTCTATTCATGTTCAATAGTAACTATGGGTGTATCTTTACCAGTTTTGAAGATATAAGGGCTAAATTTTTATCATGAAAAAAGGTCAAAGGTCAATTTCAAGGTAACAGTAAGATTACCAGTATATGACTTCAATAGTAACTTTGGACCTATCTCTGCCAGTTTTGGAGATAAAAGGGAAGGAAAATTTGCAAAGTTCAGTTCATGGTGAAAATTAGGTCAAAGGTCAATTTAAAGGTCACAGTTAGATAGCCAGTATATGACTTCCTATTCAAGTTCAATAGAAACTATGTGCATATCTTTGTCAGTTTTGGAGATAAAAAGATAAAAAAAGTGCAGTTTATCATTAAAAAAGGTCCAAAGGTCAATTTCAAGGTCACAGTTAAATTACCAGTACATGACTTCCTACTTAACTTCAAAAGTAAATACAGACCTATCTCTGCCAGTTTTGGAGTTAAAAGGGAAAGGAATTTGCAAAGATCAGTTCATGCTGAAAAGTAGGTCAAAGGTCAATTTTAAGGCCTCAGTTAAATTGCCTCTAATGACTTCCTATTCAAATTCAATAGTAACTATGGGTGTATCTTTGCCAGTTTTGAAAGTATAAGCATTTAAAAAGTTGCAAAGTTCAGTTCATGGTGAAAAGTAGGTCAAAGGTCAATTTCAAGGACACAGTTAAATTGCCAGTATATGACTTCCTATTCAACTTCAATAGTAACTATGGACCTATCTCTGCCAGTTTTGGAGATATAAGGACCTAATGTAACAATTTTGGAGTTACCTTAATGTGCCATAAATTTCCTACAGAAGAAATTAATTGAAATAAAGAAAAGGTCATTTTGGTTAAAATTCTTGAAATGGGAGGTGCTCAGAAGTTCGAGATATTCAAATTTCATGAAATAATGGCTGCTGCTCCCGTGAAAATGCACTGATTGACCCTAAACTTACGGAGATGAAAGATGACCTGAAGGGTAATACCTGACAATAATATTACAGATTAGGTCTGTTTAGTTTCTGAATATCAGTGCAAATAATTTTTTTTCATAAAAAATTGTTTTTTTGAAAATATTGGCCCGTTTGACCTTGAAACAAAGGTCAAATTCAAGGGCATATATGAAATCTCCACATATGACTTTTGGTCAGCTGTCTGTACAAAATTTTCCCATAATTCCTTTGGTATGGTAGATAATTAGCATTTAATTTTGCCAATTTTGGACAAGGGTGCATTGCAATAAGCACCACACCTAGACCCCAGCACCGATGAAGCCCAAATTTTACGTGGAACGAGTTGAGATTATAGGTGACCTAAATCCAAGAGACGGCTATGCAGGCCCTTGTAGTCTAGGAGGAGAAGCAGTAACGGTGACATGACGGCGGAGCTGGCGGAACAGGTGGGTCGAGATTAAAATCATGTGTACCGCCAGCGCCTACATTGGTGGTACAATAATTATCAAAGAAACAAATAAAAGGGAATCTGTGAGCTACTGCTTATTTCGTTGACGTAAATTTTCTCTCTAAAAAAAGTTTTAAAGTCAAACAAGAAGATCAACTTGACAGGGGAGTAGACATTTTACAGAAACTATTTTAAAACTGATGCTGCTTTTTGAAATAAACCCTCCTTACCAACAAACAAAGCCTATAAGCAAAGCTATAACAAAAATATAGTTTGGCACATTGCCCCAAAAAAGTTGTATGCAAAATAACATATTTCATACAGGGTAGACACATTCTGAACATGCTCAGTTATCATCCCTAACTTAAAATTAAAATTTATCTGGTGAGAATGAATACAAACTGTTCATTACAGACACATTTTTATAAAAGTTTTGAAATGCAACACTCCCCACATAGCAAACATTTTTGGTTAAAATAATACTGGAAAACAGGATTGCAAAACACTGCAAGATCCACAATAACCATTGTAGCAATAATATCATTATTCAATCATATACTGTTTTTCAAATTAATACATTAAGCTTCCTGGTAAATTTAAGAAAAAAACTAAAAATTTGGTTTAGCAATATGAGGAGAAAAAAAATGTTTTAGATGGCAATGTTGAAAGTGACAGTGATGGTAACTACATGGACAGACATAAGCAATCAGAATGTGTACACATAAGAGATCTGTCTTAATCAATAGCATTATAAAAGTGTCTGTAAAATAATTATTTCAGTGAAAACAAAGTATCATTCATCTCTAGGTACAGCCTCACCCCCTAAGGGCCCACACAAATTCCTAATATCAATTAAACTATTTAAATACAGGATGGGACAGACAGATGTTCAGGGTGGTGGGATGACATGTTTCCCAACTTTCATCACAAAAGTGAAGGGTTAACAAGTATGTTTTTGACTGTTGCAGCAAAGGCAATAGCAAGGACAGAAACATCATCAAAATATTATTTTACAATCACTTCCAGTGTCTGTGCATGATTATTTGATTAAGAATTGCAAATATGCAATTATATTTCTAGAATAATATCAGGCATTGACATACAAGAGAAAACTTACTTATTAGGATTAATTATCTCAAAGGTTATATTGACATACAAGAGAAAACTTACTTATTAGGATTAATTATCTCAAAGGTTGTTAATCTATATTCAACCTACGTAATATCCCATATTTCAGATATTGAGGGAATGATGGCCATGTAAGAGCATGTTGAAGTATATCCAGATCATCAGCTTCTGTTTTAGGCCACCTTTTACTGAATGCACGAGACAGCATGGACCCAGTGGTGTAAGCATCTGCATACAGGTATCTTCCAGTAAACAGGAACTGGATATCAGGTGCCTGATAATGAATAATGATACTTTCCGAAAAAATTATAAAAAAAAAATAATGATAACACAATAATAATAATGATAATAATAATAATAAATAAATAAACAAATAAATAATAATAATAAGTAAATATATGTAAAAGTTGTTTAAAAGGGTCTCTGTCTTGAGTGTAATATTCTGAATGTTTTAAAAATACACAGGAAACAAGGCAGCAAAGCTGTCAAATTTACAGACAAAAAGCAGAAAATAACAATGCACAAAATAGGCTACTGCCAATTCTGATGCAAAAGTACATTATGACTAACTGCAAATTCAACATCAAATATTAATTATGCTCAACAGGTAATACCGATGTAAGTAAAATATGTAACAAGCATAAGGCTTCAGGCCCATAGCCTAGGAGTTCAAGTTCATACTTTGAAAATGCCAGAATGAGAAAAATGAAAATTTCACACAAAATTTCATAAATTCAATAATAAATGATAATCCAATTGAGCTGGCTTTCTAATTTGAACTGCATGCCAATCCTGAAAATCATACTTGTAAGTTAAAAATAATAATAAGTAACACAGTTTTCTTTTCATAATGTTTGTAGTAGCAGTGCAAAAAGATTTTTGTCAATTTTGATGTAACATTACATAATAAATTACAGAATAATACCCACCAATTTTTGACTATAAATAGCATGTAGAAAATTTGATTACCATTTGGCTTCATGTCCA